TTTTTCCTAATTACAATATTATGTATTTTTATGTCACTAGTTATAATTATCAGATTTTATTTGTTGTACAGCATTGGCTTGGTCTTGTACTGTTATGGCACGGTAATATTATCTATACAGTATTGTAACTCGGCCGTATCTTTCAAATAAATGCCTACAGCCCTATCACATGTTTACGTGCCGGGCACGTAAACATGTGATAGGGCTGCCTGCCTCCAGCATTTTTACATTTGCCTACTTTGTGTTTCCATTTAGTTTTATGATTGTAAATATACTTTGTATATAAACAAATAAAATAGGTACTTTGTGAATTGAATAGGAAGTGTTCAATAAAAATGCGTGTTGTTTTTTGATTGGTAGATTTAATTAAAAAACCATTTATCGGTTAAATAAATTTGCGACCGAAAAATATTTGCGCCTCGGCTGAGACTTACGAAATGCTTTATTATTAGATTTTTAAATATAAAAATTCCGCTTTCTAATATAAAGCTAAAAATAATATAAATTAAAAATTGTTTTGGGAAACATGGACAATGTGGAGAAAAGGAATATCTATTAATTAGTTATAGATACCTGCAGCTACTTTACAATTTATATGTTTGTTTTTAAGTGAAGTTCAGATTTATTATTTCTTTATTTCTACTCTATTATTTATTTCCTCCATTTTTTATATATTTCACAAAATCATCACTGCGGCACAGTCTCCACTGTCTGCATGCCGAGCGCATGCCGAGATCGAGCCGCGTAGGCATAGCTCTCGCTTCGTCCGTTTGTATGAAGTTGGAATACTGTATAGATAATATTACCGTGGTTATGGTGCTGTTACTGTTTATAATAATTAATAAATAAATGTAACTCGATGCCATATTGTTTAAACCGATTCTTTTTTCACTTGCATAAGACTGTTATTATGAAACACGACGGTTGTTTTATATTCTATGATGAATGACAAAGAAAAAAGACTTTTCACGATAAAATTAATATTTTTATACATATGGAAAATTAAGTAAAGATAAAAGCTTTTTTATATTCTTCGGTGAATTACTTATAAAAAGGCAAAGATTTTTACGATAAATTAATGTTTTCAAAGCTTTAAAAGGTTTGAAAAATATATAAAGGAATGCATAAAAATATTTTTTTAATTGTCGCTTGAAGGTTTTGCTTTGATTTATAACTATTGCCTAAATAATATTAAAAGATACATTTTATTCTTCTTTTGTATATTTTTATTGACTAAAAAGTATCCGAATTCGAGATGTTAAAAAAAACTTTAAAAAATCATAACTCCGAAAGTATCAACTTTATCACAAAATGGCATAGCATCTTTTTTATTTGTATTTGAACAATAAATATAAATAATTGTGCCATTTTAAAATAAAAATTCGAGTTGCAATTGAATAAAGATATCAATTTAAACAATATGGCATCAAATTTCCCCATAGAAATATGGATTTATAATCATCAACAGGACAGGACAGGAACTTGAAGAAAGTCACCAAAACATTTAGGTGATAAAAAAGAATGATAATCTTAATTTTAAAGCAATGTCACTGAGTCAACATTACTATTGCTGGTAGTGTAATAGATATAATAAATATCTGAAAAGAGGATTTTCGCTTCATTCACACTTCGTCAACTGGTTCCCTCCGTTTCTCTCAAATTATAAACTTATGTAAAGTCTTGGGGTACACAAAAATATCCTAGACAAGTAAAGATGATTAATACAGCTATTTTATTATTTTCCATGTCTCTATATTATTTTTACCACTGAAATGTAGTTTCTATTTATCGGTGTTTAATTTGTTTATTTAAAAAATTCTAAACAAGAATGATAATCCTAATTTTAAAGCAAATACACTAAGTCAACATTACTATGGCTCGTAGTGATATCGATACTTATGATATCGTAGATATCACTCACACTTCGTCAACTGGTACCTTCCGTTTCGCTCAAATTAGAATCGTAAGTAACAGGCTTGAGGAAAGTCTTGGAGTACACAAAAATTATTTAATTTACAACTGGGTTTCTTTGAAACATTTTTTTTCCATAATTTAACAAATAATCTTGCATGTGTTATACTATTATGGAATCCTTATTAAATGGGGTAATTTTAAAATTACTTGCCCAACTCGTGTCGTAAATTTATTTTCAGTACAGTTATTTAAAACTGGGGAAAGTTTAAACATTGAATACTTGGTTGGGAAAAAATTACACTTCCTTGTGGACTGGAGTATTTGGCTGCAAATTTTAGGTAACAGTTATTATAAGCACTATTCAAGATTATATAGTAAAAAAAAATAAAAAAAATATTTGTAGCAACAGGTGTAAAAGAACCGTCACAGGCTGAAGAATTTCTCAATTTTTTTATAAAATTTTATTTTTTTTAAATACATAGCAAAGATTATTTGTAAATATTTTTCTGTTAACTATTATGACTTGACCTACCACTTGATTCGAGCTCGATGTCGACTTCTGGGACATCAAATATATATATATATATATATATATATATATATATATATATATATATATATATATCATATATATATATATATGTTTATATAAAATATTATTCTATCCTGTAAGCTCTGACAGCGCGCGACATGTTATACTCCCGTTCGCTCGGGACCGTAATGGCGGGAAAATTTGCAAATTAGCAAATTTTTTGCTATATTGCAAATTTTGCTATATTTTCACTTTGAGACAATATTTATGGATAAAACTTACAGGAATTCTTGTTGAATGTATAAACTATCGAATAAAATTATTTTTGGTTGCTAGAAATTGTAATAAAATACGTAAATTACCCTGTATAGCATAGTAGTGGTATATACTTCAATTTTAGTGACAAAATTACTACTAATTTGAATTCTACACTTTTGTTTTTAGAGAAATTTATATGAAAATGTTTGGAAATATGTATATTTTTATGTTTTATGTGTTTCCATTCGTTACTCATATTAAAATATAAAAAATTTAAAAAAAATAATAATAATATTTTATCTGTACGACATTTCGAACAATATTTCAGATATATTTTTGTGTTATTTTGAAGTAAATACAACGTCAAGTTATTTGAAATATGTAAGAAAACTATTTTTACTTACATTTTACACTAAAAATAAATGAGAATTTGGAAAATAACACATTTATGACCCAACCGCCAAAATGGAGCTTCCGGATTTTGAAGTACTTTTGGCAATTTACTTTTCACTTTTTATACCACAAATTATATATCTACGTGTTTACTATATTACAAGGAATATAAAAAAGTATAATACTTTCGGTTTTAGTCCAGACACAAATATAAAATTCTATAAAAAAGACGGAGCACCTTCATCAAAACGACACGTGGAACGCCGAAAGTTCAGAGTGATTTCTTTTTTTTTTTCTAAGAAACATTGCCAGGTTATGGTTTAAAATAAAAGAGCATATCTTTGTCTTTGATACTATTATCTATTGCATAGTGTCTTTGGTTTTGTTTAAAACGAAAAAATTGTTTTTTCATAGGTACACACGTTTACATAATTCTGATCAAATTAGCGCACTACTTGGCGGACGTAAGGTTGGTATTGTACGATCAAAAGTGCGCATGGCTTGGTTTACAGGGAAAGTGTTATAAATATTTTGCAATTTGAAGCGCTAAGTAGCGCCATGTTTTTAGTTTAGTAGTTTTTTTCTGCAGAACGCTGACTAACTGTGAAATTGCAGCTGCTTCCTGATTTCGTTTAACTGACAGCGCTAATTGTTAAACAGTGATTGATTAGCTTTAAGCTACTGCTGTATTTTCCTTTTTAATTTACCGTGTTTGTTAAAGCTATTTATACAATATCTTTCTTGTGTTGTTTGAAAAAATATATTACACCATGACCCAAAATAACGTTAACTAAATGAAAGGAGCTCGGCGGCCGGGTGTTTATTGTCACAGATCCCTCGTGCTTTCTTAAACAAAGATTTACCCAGGGTAGCTACATGTGGCTAATGGTGGTGAGAATCACCGTTCAAATATTTATCTATCGTCCGCCGTGATCGCCGACAGTAACGGTTTCGTTCACTTCTAGTTTTTTAAATAAAAGAAATGTATCTAGTGTTTACACTTACTCAAAATTAATATCAACAGATGCAGTGTTTCACTGGTGTTCCAGTGGTTAAATCAGTCAGTGTTTTCATGTTAAATTGTGATAGAAATACTCCAAAAACTTTGAAAGGCACCGTAGTAATTTTTAAAAGTTGCATTCAGTTATTTATTTTGCAATGGGTGTGCAATAAATTATATGTCACTTACATTATTCAATGAACATTTATCTCCGTAAAGTGGATCGCTTATTCAAAGAGTATATCAGCGAACAATTGGCGCTGTGGCTTACGCATTAACGCAACAAGAAAATAAGTACTAGATCGAATCCCAACAGCTGAGGTCTTTTTTTAACTTTATTACAGAATTTTCTTAGTTCGAGATTAATAAAAAATTTATATAAATTGCTCTGCCTGCAACAAGAAGCTACTAGGCACTGACCGCTGCTTAGAATGTAATCACTGTCATTCAAAATATCATATTGATTGCCTAAATTAAAAAAACAACAATTTACGGCTTTAACTACTGAATATAAATCAAAGTGGATGTATCCATCTTTTAGTAATATAACTAAACGTAAACGATCGAATCTCAATACGCCTGTCCAACAAACGCTTGACCACTCGTAGAGAAACTATTGAATTCGCCCCTTGAAAATTCAAGCTGTTCATCAACAGATTCCCAATTATTTTCCTCAAACGACGACGATCTCGTCACAATGGGTAAAATTAGTACCTTATTGGATAAAAAACTTAATAATTATCAAACGGATTTCATGGAACGTTTTAGAAAAGCATTGAAGGATGACGTCAAAAACCTAGTTGAAGCTGAGATGGACTCAGTCGGGCGCGGAAGTCGCGGTCGATTTTCGAGAGAGGTACTGCGCATTTCCACAATCGCCTCTTCCCATGTACTCCTCATATGCTATAATTCCAGTTCCTGTGCGACTGTTCCATCATCGTTTGAATTAACCACAGCTGGGGTATTCATGGCGGTATCCACGTTTTCGGGTTGCTCTGCAATTTGTGGCGCCGCATCCTCAGCCGTAGTATTTTCATCCGATGAGGGAACAGTCTCACATCGTAGCCATTCGAGTTCGGCGACATCAAATATATTTGAGCGCAAAATAAACCGAACTCGGTCTGCCTGGTTTTGCTCTGTGACAGTTAAAGATGGCTCCATCTCAGCAAAAAGACAATGCATCCAAGCCCGATACGCCAAACTTCCATCTTCTCCCCCTTTCGCCTTAAAATACGCCCGCAATGCGTTGGTATTCATTTCGATTGTCCATCGCATGCGGCGTACTCCGACAGTGGCGTGTGCCGATTGCTGGGCTCGCGAAGACCCTGCCAACACCAACCTAGCTGGTGGGGATGATGGATGCGAGGGGCTGATGGGTGGTCGTGTAGCACCTCACGCTCGCCTGGCGGTTCGCATGCTGTCGCGTCCAGTGCCAGCTCCAGACGCACCCAGGCAGCGGACCTTCGCGCGTTCTTCCGTATTTCATCATCCATATTGGTGGACGTCATTTAACGGGAGACGCCCAGACACGGCGCCGTTTCATGGCAGGACAAGCGGGCCTTTGCACCTTCAATTTTTGCTGAGGCACGGCACTAACACCTCTAGGCAAGGTTAAAAATTAAATTAAATTAAAATTTCCTTTATTTCCAAAAATCCTATTACAAAGATTTGTCGAGTCTTCCCTTTAAGTAGTCACAGACACTTGTGTTGGGAACAACTCGCTAAAAGGTGCTGACTGACTGCGCTGACATAGCGGTTTTGTCACATAACCGTTACGTCAGTCGTCGTCACTTCCCTACGCCTTTTTATGAAAAGGAATATATCCACGTTTCATTAAATGCTTTAGTATTTTAAAATGTCAAAAAAGAATAGTTGCGGAGTTACGTTCGCCGCTTCTGCTTTAGGCAGAGGAACCTCGTTTTGAAATAGTAGTTAATCAAAAAACATGTTTACATTTGACTAACGAAATTTTGATTTCTTAGATCGATCTAATGCTAAAGAGTTTATTTAATTTAAATCCTTTACCTTCATGTGTACTTTATGCTTGTTAGTCATTTGTATTAAGAACGATAGTCAAATAATGTTAATAATGTCAAGTAATGTTCTAATTAAATAAGAACGACGAAAATAAATAAGATCGACGAAAATAAAATATTATAGTAACAAGCTCATAAATAATCGTATAATGACCATATTACCTGTCATAACGCATTTCACCTTTCAGCCGTGATTGAGGAACAGACATCTAAATATTTTTACAAAATTTCACACGTTCGAATAATATTGGTACCTATGGATGATTTGAACTGTTTAATGATTTTTCAGACTTTTAAGTATTATTGTCAGTTTTGTTGCTTGGATATCAAAAGCTATTGTAGTTAATGGGCTAAACGCTCGCTGCAAATTACGCAGTACGCGAGCAACACTGGTTTGATTATTTAAATATCATAATTTCCATCATATTTCAATAATAAAATACCTAAAATAACTATAATTATTATAATCTTACTGTTCGCAGTATTGTGCTGAGAAGGTTGAATTTTCTCATTTAATGACTACATTTGGTCTTAAGGCGAGAAAAAAACCAGTCCTTCTGTCATTAAGATACGAGCCTACCAGTAGCGGTTACAGTTCATTTGGAACTTTTTATCTTTTGGAATCGTAGACCCCATGGATCGATATAAAATAACCCAAATATATCTTCATCTTTCAAAGACACATATTTAGCCAGCTACTTAGTCCAGCCACTAATTGGTTATACTTTCTTGTTTCAAAATTTCAGTAATACGTGATCAAATACAGGTTAACTTTCAAAGATATGAAACCTCCTGAACGCTGTCCAGCCTAGTTCAATCCGTCGATTGACCTCCCGCTCGAAGTTGGACTAGTCAGACAGTTTCTCTGTAAATATGCTCGTTAACATTTCGAGAGTAATGTTTGAAACAACTACCAGCATAAAATTTAAACATACTTATATCATGTTTTAACCAAATTTCAAAATCGAGAATTTATGATTATCGAGTATGAATGAAAATTCGACGCATATTTTTTATGTTCGTTTATCTATTTGACAAAATCTATCGAAAATCAGAAAAAGTCTACAATATTGTAAGGAAAATCATACTTTTAATAAAAAGTAGTACTTATTTATTCATTTGGAAACCTCCATATTTGAACAAATAAAACACATTTCGAGGATAAAACATTCTCAGAAATAGGAGCAGGTTTGTTTCCAGCGAGTTACTATACCAAGGTGCTTTATTATACCGTAGTCACTTATTCATATTATTAGAAATAAAGTTGTTAATCCTTGAAATGTATAACAATTTTATTAATACAAAAGAAACAAGTATATGACATAAAAAAATTGAAGCACATTTTCTCCGAACGAAACGTCATGAATTGGTTAGTCAGCAGACGCCAGCATAAAAGGCAAAAGGTAGTTATGCGTACGTAATTTTTCCTTGTCTCTTATTCATGAAAAAATGAAAACTCTATAGAAACTTGAATATTGCAAATTTATGCTTGCGTGTTTGTGAAATGTTTGAAATGTGAGAAATTTTCTCGAATGATTTTGGCAATTCAATCTAAAAAAATTATTAATTATAAAAATTATTAATAAAAAATTATTGCTAAGCGATTATTACCCTTAACAACTGCGCAACATCATTACGTGGCGTGTTATTGTGTTGATTTTTGTTTGTTTGAACGTTTGAATGTTTTATTAGTGTTTAGTATAGTGTTTTACTATAAAATTGTTATAAAAGATTTAGTTTGAATTCAACTTATCTTTTAAGGTAAATAATTTCGAGTAATACCTATATAGTCATAATTGTGAAAATTGAGCTGCTGTCCTGTGCTGGGTAAATACTATTTTTACTATTAAAATATAATTGGGTAAAATATATTTGTAATGAAGTAAAAACTCTAAAACTAGTAATATGACATAATAAGTAAACAGAAACAAGTATTACATTGAAATTTATAACGAATTTTATAGAAAATATATGTACGACAAATTAAAGTTTAAGTTATTTTTGGAGACGCCGCGTCACGCAAAGCGAACTAGCTATGTTAATCATTTTAGCTGGGGACTGAGGTTAATAATCGATGACCATATGAAATGGACTGATCACATTGATTGCTCATTATGTGATAAGCTGATAAGCTACGAGCAATACAATCAAAATTTTACCTCATCAGTACCAGTATACAGCAAAGTGAAGTTACTACTTGAAAATTATAGAATTAAAGAAGAATTAAATATTAGGCGCATTTATACAAAGTTTACTCAACAAGCTCTTATTCCGTATATGATTACACCAAAATATAAAAATATTTATAAAAAATTTAGGTTATAATATCAAGTTCCCGCTCTTTTGAATCAAATTACATACAATCAAATACAAATTCAATAAAAATGAACTAATTAAAAACATTAAATATAAGTTTAAAAATATTTTATTCACAAATTGTTAACGATACCTACTAATAATTTATAATAAAAATGAAAAAAATAATTTACTAACACACATAATATACACAAATACAAATCTACTAATAAATATATACATATTATATATACACAATTGTAACATTATTATCTTAATTGTTTAATTTATTTATCATACTATAACATATTCAAAAAACATTTTACTATTTTGTTACAACATTTAGGTATGTCATTAGGCAAGTTGTCGCAACGCGGACCGTTTGAACATGTTCGAAGTTACGAATCGGCGGTAGATGCAAAACTTTTGTAAGTTTATTTGTAGTGTCAGATGTTATTTAATAACTATATTTTGTAAAAAATAAATAAACAAAAATACCTTATTTTATTTATAGTCATATAATCCAAGAAACGATAATTTTTTAGCAAAAAAAGGGGGCTTAGATAGAAAATTGTAAAAAAAGCGATTGGCTAGCTCATTGCCTAAATAATCAAAAACCCAATATCCCATTATTCGCCGTTAACGAGGCTAACCAAACAACAAAGTTGGCACATTTCTTTTCGTTATAAGTCCACATAAACCATGGACCAATAAGTCCCAGATGAAAATGGGACAGACTTTTAAAATTATCTTTTTAAAACGAACATAATCACGTTTTAAAATTCTAAAAGTGTTATGAAATAGCTAAAGTTGCAACACTATATCTTGCTGGTTAGAGTTAGTTTGAACGTAACACTGAGTCAGGGAAAACGAGCTTTATCGTGAAATGACACGTGCACATCATATATTACGCTTGGACGTTTTTGACTGTTGAGAATTTAGCACAATTTAAATGTATATTGCATTTTTCAACTGATATTTTTTTAACTTTGTAACATGTTTATAATTGTTTAAATATTAATTTTGTTACTAAATAATATTTAAAAAATATTTTAATGGAGCCGTGGACTGTGCCTACTCACGTGCTTAGTGCTAGCCATAAATATCATAGTACGCGAGCAACTCGAAGTCGATCTCCACCGACACCAATACAACTGTTAATTGCGATTTAATTTATTTTTATAACTCAGCGATAAAGGTAAATACTTAAGTGAAACATGTATGTCCGAATGTTTCTTTATTATTCGGGTTCTACTGCGGATACTAACATCAATCGGCCTAACGAAATCATCATCATCATCATCATTACAGCCCTTCACAAGTCCACTGCTGAACATAGGCCTCCCCAAGTAATGCCACAAAGCACGGTCCTGAGCCACCTGCATCCATCGACTTCCTGCATGTCTGTCTGTCTGTCATGTCTTACCAGGTCGTCACTCCATCTAGTGGGGGGTCACCCTACAATACGCCTACCGGTACGAGGCTGCCACTCGAGAAACTTTATTCCCCATCGGTTATCGGTTCTTCGAGCTATATGGCCGGTCCATTGCCACTTCAGCTTACTAATCCGTTGGGCTATGTCGATGACTGGTTTTAATGCGGATATTCTCATTTCTGAGTCTATCACGCAGAGAAACTCCGAGCATAGCCCTCTCCATAGCTCGCTGAGCGATCTTGAGCGTCCTCATATGGCCAGCAGTGAAGGACCACGTCTCAGATCTGTAAGTCATCACTGGCAACACGCACTGGTTGTACAATCTAGTTTTCAGAGATTGAGGTATACCTGACGAGAAGATGTGTCGTAATTGCCCGAACGCTGCCCAGCCGAGTTGAATCCGTCAATTGACCTCTTGGTCAAAGTTGGACTTACCTAGTCGGACTATTTGTCCCAGGTAAACGTAGTCGTCAACAACTTCGAGCATAATG